TCTGGTTAGCAGTCAAGTGCCTTAGGCACTATGCTACCAGAGCTCCCCTCACAAATATATACACCCTATAAAATTCAAGCCTTGAGTTGCAACACTGAAGGATTCTATGGGCAAAATAACGAATGATGCAGGAAGTATCAAAAGAAGATGGAAGGAATACACAGAGTCACTGTACAAAAAAGACCTGGTCGATCTTCATCCATTTCAGGAGGTGGCATATGACCATGAACCAAGGGCATTAAAGGAAGAAGTTGGAGCTGCACTGAAGGAACTGGCAAACACCCCGGCTCCAGGAAGTGACGGAATAACCCTTGAGATGTTTCAGCAAACGGACACCACACTGGAGGCACTTACTCGTGGAAGCCAAGAGGTCTGGAAGACAGCTACCTGGCCAACCGACTGGAAGAGATCCATGTTTAGACCCATTCCAAAGAAAGGTGATCCCACAGAATGTGGAAATCATCAAACAGTATCAATAACATAACACGTAAGTGAAATTTTGCTGAAGATAATAAAACAATAGTGGCAGCAGTACATGAACAGGGAACTACCAGAAATGCAGGCTGGATTCAGGAGAGGACGTGGGACAGGGGACATCGCTGTGATGTCAGAGGGATGTTTCTGAAAGCAAAGAACACCAGAAAGATGTTAAAAAAACAAAACAAAACAAAAGACCAAAGAAACCCAACCCAACTGCCGCTGGGTCAATTCTCATTCATAGCGACTCTACAGGACAGAGCAGAACTGCCCCAGGGGCTTTCCAAAGCTGTCAGTCTTTATGGAAGCAGACTGCTTCATCCTTCTCCCACAGAGCAGCTGGTGGGTTCAAACCTCTGATCTTCTGTTTAGCAGCCTAATGCCTTAACTACTATGCCACCAGAACTACGTTTTATTGACATTGCAAAGGTAACTGACTGCGTGGCTCGTGACAATTATGGATAACTCTGTAAAGAATGGGACATTCAGAACACTTAACTGTGTTCATGTGTAGCTTGTACATAAAGCAAGAGGCTGTCGTTCGAACAGAACAAGGAGATATGCATAGCTTAAGAATCCGGGAGGGAGTATGTCATGGCTGTATCCTTTCCCCACACTTAGTCAGTCTGAATGCTGAGCAGATAATCTGAGAAGCCGGATTAGAAGGCTCTCTCTCTGTGTGGAGGTATATGAAGAAGAACGCAGCATCAGGATTGGAGGAAGAGTCCTAAACACCCTGCAATGCATTGACAACACAAGCTTGCTGCTGAAAGAGAGGATGACTCGAAGCACTTACTGATGAAGACTGAAGACTAGAGTCTGCAGTATGGATTACATCCCAACATAAAGAAATGAAAATCCTCACAACTGGGCCAATAAGCAGCATCACGATAAAAAGAGGCAAGATTGAAGTTGTCAAGGATTTCATTTTACTTGGATCCACAATCAACACCCATGGAAGCAGCAGTCAGGACATCGCGATGTCACTGGGCAAATCTGTGCAAAGACCTCATTAAAGTGCTGAAGAGCAAAGATGTCACTTTGAGTACTAAGGTGTGCCTAACCCAAGCCATGGTGTTTTCAAGCCTCATATGCATGTGAGAGCTGGACAATGAATCAGCAAGACCAAAGAAGAGTTCATGCCTTTGAACTGTGGTGTTGGCAAAGAATGCTGAAAATACCATGGACTCCCGGAAGAAGGAACAACTGTCTCGAGAAGCACGTCCAGAATGCTCCTCAGACGTGAGAATGGCCAGACTTCAGCTCTCGTACTTGGGACGTGTTATCAGAAGGGGCCATTCCCTAGAGAGGGATATCATGCTTGGTAGTGGGTCAGCAAAAAAGGGGAAGGCCCTCAGCTGGATGGATCGACACAGAGGCTGCGATGATGGGCTCGAGCAAAGCAGGCATCGAGGAGCCTGGGGCTCACCAGCCCACGTCCCACCTGGTGGGCAGCCCTCACGGTCCCTCCTGTCAGTCGGTGGGAGTGGGATGGTCGAGGCAGGAGGGGGCTTCACTTTGCACAGCTCCTGCAGGGGGCTCTGCTCTTGACTTTGCACCCTCTCAGAGTCAAGGTGCAGCCCCACTTCGTTCATGTTCTAGGGTGTCCTCCCCACTCTGCATTATGACAGGAAATATGGCTGCTTTAGGAGCCCACAGCTGGTATCAAGCATTCAACGTGGAAGTGGTCACCCCACTGAGGTGTGGCACTCCTGACTCACAGACACCAGAGTCTGGGATCGCTGGGTGCCATGTGGGGTGGGAGCTTGGCATGGACTCAGGTGTGAGCCCCCGACTCACTCTCACGTGAGGCCCAGCCCCTTGGAGCCCATCCCTTCAAGCACATAGGGTTCACTGACAACGGCCCCCCACAAACCATCCTTCCAGGTCCTTCACAGCGAGGAACACCTGGGAGGTGGGCAACGGCCGCCCCCCCTCCCACTGGGTGCCTCACCTGCACCTTCATCTCCCGGTCTGTGTCCCAGATCCGGATGATCCGAACGTCCCCTGAGCTCATGAGAAGCCCGGTCTCCTGCTCCCAGTCTACCACCATCCCAGCTCCTGCGGACAGACGGACAGACACCAGCATCACCCGGGGCCTCAGGGGGCCCGGCGTCTGTACCACCAGGCAGGTCCCACCTCCGACGTGAGTGCTGGCTGGGCTCCCCATGCACCCTGGCAGCCGGGTGGGGTCCCACTTCTGGCATGGGTGCAGCTGGGTTCCTGTGCACCCTGACCACAGCGTTGGGCTGACAATGCCAAGATCCGAATCCTGGGCTGTTCTCGGATCTACACTACGCCTGGAGTCACCTCCAGGCTTGTCGGCACACCGGGGGCCGGAGGACTCCAGACTGATGCTTGTCTTTTCCTTTGAAGATGGTTACAGAACACCCTTCACACGGTTTGCCAGTTCAGATTCTCCAGGTGCACAGTCTGGTGACCAACCACTGGTCACATGCAAACGTTACTCAGGACGTCACGGAATCTCCCATCAACACAAACAGAAACTCCGCTTCCCAATGCCCCTCCCACCCCGTAAATGTGCTCGGTGCGTCCGCCCACGCCTGTCACTTCACACAGGTGTCACTGCTTATCTGTCTTCTGCGGCCCGGCCCGGCCCAGCCACTCTACCATGGTGTCAGAGGCAAGATAAGGACAGTCCCTCTTGGCTCTGTCGGAGCTCCAGGGCCTGACTTTGAGGGCACAGCAGGGCTTAGCGAGTACCACCCCACAGACCACGTGTGACCTTGACTCATGTGGGGACCTTCCCGGGGCCTACATCCACCCCCTATCGGAAATCACCGGGGAGGGCTGGCTTTAGGCAGACCGTGTTTCTAGAGACCCGAGGTTTCTAGAACAAGGTGGCCCCTTTCTCAGGAGCAGGTCTCACAGACCAGTTTACAACCTATGGGATGAATGCTAGGGCCTGCCCCCTTTCTTCAGAAAAAGTCCCCCTTGGCTCCTGACGCCATCCGTGGCCTCTCAAGGTTTGCTAGACCCCATGCTGTGGACAGGACTGTGGAGGTGGCTGCCACCAGCTGCCCAGCCCCCAGTCCCTCTATCTGTCAGTGTTCTGACCCTGCCCCCGTCTGAACTTCCAGACAGGTTGGGGGAGAGCACCCTGGTTCCTCTGGGGTTTGTGGGTGGTGAAGCCATGGTCTCTCCTCAGATGGGGGAGCAGAGGGGACTCAGGAGGCACGAGCCTCACGACCTTGAAGGAGAGCCCACGTGCCCCCCCTGGGGGTCTCCCCCACGGGCACCCCCACTCCTCCCCTTGTCTGCACCAGCCCCTTCAGTCCTATAGGAACTTGTTAGCTCTCTGCCCTCACCCCCAGTAACAGCCGACGGGCTGGGGGCTGGCCTTGCATGGAGCCAGGCCTGGCTTTTGAGAGCTGGGGCCTCCCCCAGCTAGGTGAGCTGAAATGCCAGCACTGCGGGGCCAGCTTCAGGGGGGGGCTCAGCTGGGCCTGTTGGTTAAGTTCGCTGCCCTGGTGTCCTCTCAGGACACAGCATGGCCCCCTCACCTCTGCCCAGCTTCATCCTGGACACAGGTCCCACATACTCGTCAGTACATGTCCTGGCAAAATGGCCAATTTCCTCCTTAAAATAAAGATGACCAGGCACTCTCCTGGGTCACAAACTTGGGGCCACTGGCCACTGGGTGGTGAGGATAAGCAGGTAGCCCTGGGAGGCCAGATGGCGACAGCAAGGCTGCAGCCACCACACCACAGAGGCGGCTCGGAGGACCCATTGCCCCAGTGACCACTGCCTTGCCGACAGCTCAACCACACCCAGGAGAGATCCCTGAACCACAACCACCCACCACACTGAGCCCAGCCCGTGCTAAGCAGTGTTGGCTGCCTCAGACCAGGCCGGAAGTCCTCGTCGGGGCTCTGGGCTGAGTTTGATTAACGTGTTTGTAACTGACCAGGGGGTGTCGGGCTCTTCACTCAGGGCTGTGGGTGGGGAGACGTCTGCTTCTGTGGCATCCTGGCAAGGGCTGGGGTCCTCCCAGCATGGGCGGGGTCTGACAGCAGGAGGGAGGATGGCAAACAGGCAGGACTGTCCCTCACACTAAGCCTGGCTTCCAAGGGTCCTGCTGACTACTGTGAAGAGTGACGTCTGGCTCTCTGTCCTCTCTGGGAAGCCCTGCAGGCTCCTCGTGGGACAAGCCCTTCTAACGACCCCAGGCCTTACTCATGGAAGTGGCGGCCATGTCCACTTTTGCTTGTCTCTTCCTCTCCAGAGATGAGGGAGTTAACAGTCTCAAACTTTCTTAACAGAGGTGACTAGCAAGTCAAATTTGAGTTTCCCCTTTCTAAGAACTCCTTTTTGAACTTTGTAAAGTAAGAATTCTTTATCAAACGCTATAGTGTTGACACGGTCTACGGAGCCTTGGGGGATGTCCATGAAACGCTGGTGACGTGGTAACCTACCCACCCAGCTGCCTTCTTGCCTGACGCTGCCTGGACTGCCCCACCAGCGAGCGTGGCTGGAAGACGGCCCAGAAGGGTGAGCCCCTCGAGGGCTGGTGCATTGGAAGAGGAGCACCAGGAGGCCACTCGCAGGGCCTGTGTCTCCTTCCAGGGCTTCTAGGATGAGACTGAGGGCCGGGGCTCAGCCTGGTCTCAGTGCTTCAGTCTGGCGGCCTGGTTTTGGCGCAGAGCACCAAGGGTGCAGCCAGATAGGGTTGGTAACGGTCCCAGTTACACACGGCTTTTCAGTGCCAACAGGACTTCATGTGGCTCTGCCTCACGTGCTGAACAAGACCAACTGGCTCTGCTTTGAAAGCTGAGGTGGGAAAACAGTTTCTTGGTAATGACGGTGGCTGTGGTCCCTGGGGCACGTCTGCAGGGTGGACCTGCTGGGGGTGGCTGTGACGGCCTCGTTCCAGGACTGAACCGCTGTCTCCCCCCCTGCACTGGTGGGGAGGTGATGGGGCAGAGGCGAGAAGGACTGGGTCTCTGGATGCAGCCAGCAGCCTCCCAGGAGGGAGAAAAGGTGCAGGAGGGTGCAGCCGAGCCGGCCGGGGGGCTCGTGAGGACTTTCTAGTTCTTTCTCTAAGACGTCTTTCCCAGTTAGTACCTGACCCCAGGAAGTCTGTGCTCACAGCCACTGTTCCTTCAGCGTGTGAGTGTGAAGCCTGGAGGACAGGGGACTGGACACACAGGAGAGGGCCTGGCCCTGGCCTCGCCAGTCCAGGAAGGCTGCATCCCGTGAGGACAGCAGAGGGGACGTCCCAGTGGTCACAGGAGGAGGAACAACCACTCACCTTCCTGCTTACTGCTGTCAAGATAGATCGAAACTTTTCGGGCCAGACCTGCGAGGAGACAGGGGTGGCGGGTGGGTGTGTGGGCAAGACCGTCAGTCACAGCAGAGTTAGCCAAGGTCACACGGGCACACCAACTGGTTAGAACCATCACAGAGAGGCCACAGGCAGAAAGGAGCAGATAGCGGGCGTCCACGCACGCTCCAGTCCAGAGAAAGGGCCCCTCCTTGGGCTGGCTACGGCCCAGTTGTGTGGCTCAATGAAGACTAAATGCAACTCAGCATGTCTGACTGGGAGCTTGGCAAGGGCCACAGCTTGGGGAACACGTGACCCAAGATGGTACCAGAACAGCAGTGCTGCCTGCTAGCTTGGCATGGAGTCAAAGCAGGCTTGTCGGGGAGGGCACAGTCTGTAGTGAGGTCAATGGTGGAAACACAAGGTTTGTTCTGGGCCATGATGGGGAGCAAGCGGGGACACTCTGAGCCCAGGACCCTATGATCTGGGGTGGAGTTGAGTAGGGGTGGCTCCTGGAGCGAGGGGCAGGCCAGGTGAGCACAAGGCACAGGCTGTGGGCAGGGCCGGAGCCTGGGAAAGGAGGCCGGAGCCTGGGAAAGGAGGCCCGATGGGCTTGGTTCATGGCGCAGCCTCAACGAGGAGCCTCAGGGTCAGTGTGGGGTGGTTTGGCCACATGGCCCCAGCTCCGCCTGGCACTCTGTGTGCGAGTGCGTGTGCCCTAGGCTCTCTCTCTCTGTGTGCATGTCCCCCAGGCTGTGTGCGTGAGTGTGTGTGCCCTAGGCTCTCTCTGTGTGTGCAAGTCCCCCAGGCTGTGTGCGTGTGAGTGTGTGTGCCCCAAGCTCTCTGTGTACGTGCGTGCCTCCCAGGCTGTGTGCGTGTGAGTGCGTGTGCCCTAGGCTCGCTCTCTCTGTGTGTGCATGTCCCCCAGGCTGTGTGCGTGTGAGTGTGTGTGCCCCAGGCCCTCTCTCTGTGTACGTGCGTGTCTCCCAGGCTCTGTGTGTGCGTGTGTATGTGAGGGTGTATATGTAACCCGGGCTCTGTGTGCATACACGCTGGAGACAGAGAAGACAGACAGACCCTGCAGGTGTCACAAGACTCCAGGTCTGGGGGGAGGGCATGTCCCACTTGGGACAGCCTCTTCTCTCCTTCACAAGCAATGGGACCTGATCTTCTGAAACCAGGGGCCACCACAGCCAGGTGGTGAGCACTTTCTGAGCCAGTGGGAATCAGAGCGCAGTACTTCACAGGGCAAGCCACCGTTAACCAGCCGTCACCCTTCCGAAAAGCCCGTCTCTTGTCCACTTTGTGCTGCATTCTCCGGGGCTGAGAGAATGGCCACCCTTCTGCCTGCACTTTTAGGCGATGAAAGTACCTGGGCCCACGGCTGTGCCCAGCACGGATCCTTCTAGAACCTGAGCAATGCCGGGGCCTCTTCCCCTTCACACAGAAAGCTCTGTGGTGCCTCAGGGACACACAGGCCCTGGGGGAGATCCACTGCTGCCGGACAGAGCCAAGAACCTCTGCAGCAGTGAGGTGGGCGGTGGGTGTCGGCCCCCAGAGGGAAGGTCTCCACGGTGGCCTGAGCCTTTCCCTCCCTCCCTCCTCCTGGGGCACCATGTAAGCCGGGAGGGCTGGGGTCCGGAGGGTAAGGCCATGGAAGCACACACCGCAGGTGAAAACTGCCGAGCAGAGGGCCGGGGCCCTCCACACGCTGCTGGGCAGGCGAGGGGCTCTGAGAGCCCGGGTTCCTTGCCCACTCTCCTTAGCTAGCCTCCCCCCAGATGCCGGCATGCTCCTTCCTCATCAGCACTGCCTTCATTGAAGCAAAGGGGGCAACGTCACGGGTACACGTGTTCTTCGGTCTCAGACCCACGGCAATGCTGCCCTGGGCAGATGAGCACAGCAGGGCAGGTCAAGACAGACGGGTCATCAATACCGGCATGTGCATTGCGCGGTGGCAGTCCAACCCCCCAGACCTTCTGTGGCCCCCCTGTGGACGCCCCTCTGTTTCTGGCCTGGCCCTGTGGGAAAGGCTGCTGGGGTAGTTTGGCCTGGGGCATGTGTCCTCCTGGAGGTGGCCAGGGCCATGGCTGGACTGGGCCACCATCTCCTGAGAAACCAACTCTGAGGCTCCCCCCTGAGCCACCTGTCCTGCAGTGCAGGCTGGCACAGTGAGAGCCAACCATGACGGGGATGCTGAGAGGCTGCTGCCCGGGGGGAGGGCGGCACAGAGCCTGGTGCCACACAGCGCTGAAGGGAGGCGACGGTGCTGCCCACAGAACCGCAGGGCCTGTGCAGTGTGGGCAAAGGGGGATGCGCAAGACCCTCCTTCATGCTCGACAAGCAGCCTCCACCTTGGAGTGGGGGCCTCACAGCTGAGGGCACCACCAAGAAGCTCCCGTCAGGCGCTCAGCGGGTAGTGCAGACAAACTGGTGGGCCTGCCCCGTGGACGATGGGCCTGCCCCGTGGACGGTGGGCCTCCCTGGTGGATGGGCCTGCCCCGTGGACGATGGGCCTGCCCCGTGGACGGGCCTGCCTGGTGGATGGGCCTGCCCTGTGGACGGTGGGCCTCCCTGGTAGATGGGCCTGCCCCGTGGACGGTGGGCCTACCTCATAGACAGTGGACCTACCCCGTGGATGGTGAGCCTCCCCCATGGACAATGGTCCTCCCCTGCGGACTGTGGTCTTGTACATGGATGGGGACGGCAGTGTCAATGTTGGGTAGACCTGGAGGCTTCTCACTCTAAAATGGTGCACAGGCTGGGGAGGGCGGATGTTTTAACTTCCATCTGGTGAGAGCCCTGGGTGCTTTATGACGCTGTGGGGAGATGACGTCCCTAGAAGCTGGCTCTTGGTGGCACAGCATCTCCCTGGAGAGCCACAGATGCTGTGTCTGGAGCCTGAGGGTTGGTTGCTGAGAACCAGTGGCAATGCCCCGCAGGCCTGACAGTGAATGAGGAGCGTGGGCAGGTGCAAAGCTACGCCCAGGGGTGTGGTGTGGGTGCCGGAGAATGGCAGTCACCTGACCTTGATCTGTTGTGGGGCCAGCATCAGGTCTGCTCAGCCCACTGCAGACAAGCCAGCACACCCACTTTGCATGCGATCACACCAGACAGGAATTAGGTCTGCCTTACTGCCTCCTTGGGGCACAGATGTCAGGCCTGCCAGCTGCAACGCTGCCCCAAGCAACACATAGCTCCCAGCTGAGGTCAGGCACACTGTGACCCAAGCTGCCAAACACAGGGCACGGACCCCCAGGCCTGTGTGGCTGCCTGGCGTCAGAGGGATGTGGGGCACATGCCAATGACTTGCAGGGACCTCCCCAAGTGGGACACGGACTTGGGCTCCCAGTGGCCTGGGGGTAGGCTGACCTACCTCGTGTTGTTGGTAGCATGTCAGAGAGCCCCTGCCACGCCGTCACCATCTCGGGGTTCTTCTCCAAGTCAGCAAAGTTCTTCCAGACCCTGATGGCGCCATCATCTGGGGCAGGAGGAGATAGTGAACCTGTGCCAGGCCTCTCGTGTGCTCCACATGGGAGGAGGTCCGGGGCGACTGGGGTATGATGCCGGAGACTGTGTGGTGGTCAGTGATCCCAACACCCAAGTCCCTCCTCGTCTTAGATTCCTGCCTGCGCATCTGGGAGCAGCACAGCAGGAGGCGAGGCCCCCCTGCCCCCCCCCCCTTGGGCCCCTCCAAGTGAGGCCCCTCGCTGTGTAAACCCACTCACCAGTGGCTGTCAGTAGCAGTGAGCAGTCCTGGCCATTCAGGTACTCCATGGCAGTGACCCTGGTGTACCTGGGGTTCCCGTTGTGGAAATAATCCAGCTTCTCCCCTTTCTCCCAGTCCCAGAAACTTAAGGGAACAAGAAACCAAGGTGAGAACCGCCCCCAGCTGGTAAGCAAGGAGAACCCTCCCGTGCCTTCCCACAGCACACGGGCACTTTCTCCATCATGCAAGGCGACACCTGTAATCAGTTTAACCTAGTTTTTCCCTGGGGCCTCAGTGATCCTCCCCAACATCTGTGTCTGCAGAGGTGGAAAGGGAGGCCCTAGTGTGGGTCCCTCTGCACACGTGCCACCTCACAGAGACAGATGCGCACTGCATCTGTCTGCACAGGACAATGCTCATCTCAGGCATGGGACACTGCTGCCCGTGCCTGGAGCCCGTCCTGACTCTGATGCCTGCTGGTGACATAGTGAGAGTGGAGACCGCTGGGGCCCAGCCACACCAGGACAGTGTGGGCAGGACTGCTTCTCAGCACACCTCCGAGACCTTTCTATGTGAAACTAGACAAAGGGCCAAAGGGCCTCCCGCTGGAGAAAGGCACAGGAGGACTGGACGCTCGGAAGTTAGCACTGACGGGCAAACCAGTCCCGGTCATGGCAGGCGTACCAGATGCTGTCTTTGTCAGCCACAGCGACACATGGTGTGAACGGGTGGAACTTGACCACCGAGGGGACTCCCGGATTCCTATTGAGGAATATCTGGTCGTCCAGGCGGGTGATACCTGCCGAGAGACACAAATGGGAGCATATACCTGTAGCCATGATTGACAGGAAATACTCACGCACACTGGTGTCTGAGAGCTGTGAAGGCACCATGCACACAGAGAGCGGTCCGAAGGGGGCCTGTCACCCTCCGGAGGCCACGGCTCCCTGCCCTTGGGGTCGGTGCCTTTGCTTGGATCCCTCTCCCCAGCTCTTGGCACAAAGCTGGATTCACAGTAGGTATTCAGTCAACTGGTCAGTACAGCCTACCCGTTGTAATTCACACACTGCTACCTACATGTTGTAACATACTCATTACAAACTAGGTTTTGTAGCCTACATACCACAACCTGCACTGTAACCTACACGTAACCTATACATCATAGCTCAATTCCTTACAACCTGCATGTAACCTGCACGTTGTCACTTGTCCCCTACAACCCGCACGTAACCTGTATGTCATTGCTCGTCCCTTATACCTACATATGTAACCTACACATTGTAACCTATTTTATAGCTATGTACTGTAACGTATGCATCATAACCTGTATGTCTTAGTTCTCTAGCACTGCTCTAGCAGAAATACCACACGTGGGTTGGTTTTAACAAACAGAAATTTATTCTTTCACAGTTCAGCAGGCTGTTGTGTTGCTAGGTGCCATCGAGTTGATCCCAACTCATAGTGACCCCATGTACAACAGAACAAAACGCTGCCCGGTCCTGTGTCAGCCTCATGACCCTGCTTAGGAGCCTAGACGTCTGGATTCAGGGTGCTGGCCCCAGAGAGGCGTTCTCAGTCAGTTCTGGAGGTCCTTGTCTCTTCTGAGCTTCTGTCCCTGGGCCATCTGCATGGGACCTTGCAGGTGTCTCCTCTGTCTCTGCACGTGGCTCAGCAGGCGTCCCTGCTTTTCCCGACTGCCCACTTAATGCTTTTATATCTCAAAAGAGATGCAGTCAAGAACCCCTATACACCAGTCCTGGCTCACTAACACGACGAAGATAAGCCATTCCCAAATGGGATTCTAACCACAGGCACAGAGGTAAGGGTGGACAGCTCCTATTTTTGGGAGACACAACTCAACCTGCCATTAGAAGCTGCATATTAGCAGCATATAGTTAGAATCGCTGGACAAGTGCAAAAGCTTTCAGAAGAAAGGCTTGGGGAGGTGGTCAGCACCATGGACCCAGGGTCACCCACCCCACAATCAGCTGGAGCACTAGTGGATCTTCAGTCTAGAAAGATGGCAGTGAGGACTCCTATGACCAGAGGATGTCAAAACACAAGTTAACCAGAGGGGTGAACGGAGATCTATTCACCAGGACCCTGAACACTAGAACGAGTATTTTGCAGCTTGGAAACACTAAACCCTTCACAGCTCTGAAAGAGCCTGCATGCACGGAGATGCTAGGGGACCAACTTGTAGGTGGGTCAGCGAGACCCTGTTTATTACGAGTGATCGGGAAGCGTGGGTGAACTGCCTGTTACATGATGAGGAGAGAGCCTACCCGGTGCTCTCAGCCTCAGATGACTTGGTGGATGGTGGGTGATCTGCAGGGCTACTGGGCTGACAACCTTCAACTTTGCCTGGCACAGTGTCTGGGCAGGAGCGGGTACCAGACAAGCCTCTTCAGGGTATGTCTCCTCAGGCTAAAGCACCTTCCGTGCAGCGGGGAGGGAAGTTCGGCACTCTAGTATCTTCTGTGTCCTGTGCTGATGCCAGGGCTCCCCATACAGGGCCCTCCTGGGCTGACAGCAGTGCTCTCCACGTGGGGCCACCTGTTCTCTCCCCAAGGAAGTGTGGGCGCCAGGGCTCACCAGCTCCAAGCACTTGAGTGGAGACCACAAGGGAAGCAGATGTGGAATTACGGAAAGCAGAGTGACAGCCCGAGTCTCTCTTGCCACTCCTCTTCCAGAGGTACGGAGAGTTATAAACGACGATGACCAGTTTACAGTGGAAGAATGACCCATGTGAACAACTGTGACCACCAGTGTTTCAGAGGGAGAGCTGTGAACAGAGGCAGGCTCCTAATAGGCCAGGCCTTCCTTCAGGCTGAGGGGCTGTGGGGGGCAGGAGGGGAGCCCCTGGCTCTCAGCCTGGGCCTGCTTCCCTCCCACCTTCCTACCCTAGGTTGCAGACCTGGGGGAACTCCTTCCTCTCCACTGGCCTCAGCTTCCTGTTTGTAGACGGAACAGTGGATGGCATCTGAGTGGATGGCATCCTAGTGGATGGCATCCGTGTGGTGGCCGCGTGGACAGAATCTGAGGGAACGTGGTCTAAGTAGACAGCCAGGAGCACAGTGTCTGAGTGGATGGCATCTGAGGGGATGGCGTCTAAGGGGACGTGGTCTGAGGGGACAGTGTCCATCTGAAGAAATGTGGTCTGAGGGGCCGGTGCCTGTCTGAGGGGAATGCAGTCTGAAGGGATGGCATCTGAGGGGATGTGGTCTGAGAAGACGGTGTCTGTCTGAGGGGACGCAGTCTGAAGGGATGGCATCTGAAGGGATGTGGTCTGAGGGGATGGTGTCCATCTGAGAGAATGTGGTCTGAGGGGATGGCGTCTGTCTGAAGGGACGCAGTCTGAGGGGATGGGGTCTGTCTGAGGGGGTGTGGTCTGAGGGGACAGCATCAGTCTGAGGGAACGTGGTCTGAAGGGATGGTGTCTGTCTGAGGGGACACAGTCTGAGGGGGACGCAGTCTGAGGGGATGGGGTCCGTCTGAGGGGATGTGGTCTGAGGGGACAGCATCAGTCTGAGGGAACATGGTCTGAGGGGATGGCGTCTGTCTGAGGGGACGCAGTCTGAGGGGGACGCAGTCTGAGGGGATGGGGTCTGTCTGAGGGGATGTGGTCTGAGGGGACAGCATCAGTCTGAGGGAACGTGGTCTGAGGGGATGAGGGGATGGCGTCCATCTGAGGGGATGCAGTCTGAGGGGACAGTACCTGTTTGAGGGAATGTGGTCTGAGGGGACAGCATCAGTCTGAGGGAATGTGCTCTGAGGGGACAGCGTCCATCTGAGGGAACGTGGTCTGAGGGGGCAGCGTTTGTCTGAGGGAATGTGGCCTGAGGGGATGGCGTCCATCTGAGGGAATGTGGTCTGAGGAGATGGTGTCTGAGGGAACACAGCCTGAGAGCATGGCATCCATCTGAGGGGACACAGTCTGAGGGGACAGTTACACTCGGCCTAGGTGCTTACCCCTCTGGATGAGCTGCTGCGCCTGTTTCCGCACGCGGGTGTTACGTAGGAACCGCCACTCGCGCTCTTTACGGGTCTGGCTCTCCAGGTCGTGCTCTTCTGGGATCTTCAACAACAAAAGTGTTAAGTCCACCATTAAAAACAGAGATTTCCCTAGACAAAGGAGGCTTGCCCTGGGCTGGACCCAGCTGGGGTCTCTGGCTGCTCAGGCACCAGGCCCCGACAGGTAAGGACTGGGCCCCAGTTGTGTCCTGGGCCCAGGAGGTCCTGCCCTGAGTTCACAAGCCCCCAGCTTAGGCCGTCCACGTCAACCTCTCTGGGGAGCACCCAGCGCCTGTCCCTGGTGGCCCGCAGGTCTGTAGGTCCTGAGGAGTCTCAGCAGGGTGATGGGCTGCCTCACCTGTGATCAAGGCCACCAGGTGTGGAGAGGGGAGTGCAGACTCACATGATGTCCCCCAAAAGAGCCAAGTACTCAGCCCCCGAGAGGGTCAGCACCATTCCACTCAGCAGGCCCAGACATGGAGCACAGGTGTCAGGGGGGACGAGAGGCCCCAGGGGTGGGGTGCAGGGCAGAACCTGTGCCTGTGCTCTGTGGCAGGGACACAATGGTCCCAGTGTGGCAGCCCCGGGCCAGTTGGCCGAGGAAGGCGTGGACTCTGCTGGTCCAAAAGTGCAGAATACACAACCATGGAAAGACAGAGCATGGCAGAGTCCGCCGCTGCTCTTCCTCTAATGCTGTGGGGAGGTGGGGCGTTTGGTCTGGAGATAAGCGAGCTCAAGGCAAAGGAAGTGACTGACAAGGAGGTGCTGCTTGGTGGCAGGCTGTGGCCAGCACTGGATGTGGCCCTGGGGGTACTCCCGAGAGCTGGGGCCTGTGAGGTGCCACTTAGTCCTGGGGAGGGAGGGCCAGCTGGACATCAGGTGCCTGGAAGGTGCTGAGTTGCAGGCCTGCTGGGGTTCAAAGCCATGTGCCACATGTCAGTGCCTTCCCTAATTACAGCCAGGGCCTGACAAAGCCCCTGTCCTCTGCACGTGGAATCTGAGGACTACCAACCAGCCTGGCTTTTCTCCATTCACTGAGCAGAGGCCCTCTTGGTTTTGGCCCGTGTCTGTCAGTGTGCGTGGGCGTGTGGACATGTGGTCGGGGCTGCGGCTGTGTTGTTAGGTGCCATGGGGTTGATTCTGACTCACAGCACCCATGTGACAGACTGGCCCTGCCCCGTGGGGCTTCTGGACTGTAATCTTTAAGGGGGCAGTCACTGGGGCTTTTGTCTAGTGTGGGGGGCAGGCCTCAAACCATCAACTTTTTGGAGAGCAGCTGTGTGCTCAGCCACCAGGCCGCGCGAGGCTGAGGGACAGCCGCACTGGCCACGGGAGTGTGTGCTTAGCAGGGGGCCTGGGTCTCTACTCAAAAGCAGACTCACTCACAAGTTGTCGAAGACACGTCTCCTTCATCACACGTGCCACCAAGCAAATGTGGCTGCCTCTCAGTCCCTGCCAGAACTCCAAGACTTGTGAAGTCCCAAAATAGAGAAAAGAATCAAACAAAATCAAAGCCCTGCTTCCCTCTGGCTGACAGGGGACACAGACTCAGCATGCCCAGGGCCAGTCAGAGCTTGGCTTGCCATTCAAACCCTCGTGGGGAAGGCACGGAGGACAAGGCCATTCAGCGAGGTCATGGTAAAGCTGTCATGTGTACATGTGGCTCAGAAAGATGGTGTGTACACACAGAATGTGTGAGGCCGTGTGGAGGTGCTGCTGTGTAAGAACGTACGCAGGACGCTGGCTGCATGCCTTCGAAGCTTCTGTCTGTGTGATAAGGGAACAAAACACCAGCCCAGCCCCTCTGATGCCCAGTCACAGACAAGCCATGTTCAAGTCCTAACCCCTGCCCCTGTAACTCGCCCTTGTTCAGAACTGGTTTCCTCCTGTCATGGTGACGAGGACAGCAGAGTTGGGTGGGTTGTAACCCCATCCCTCCTGAGAGGGGTCCTATGAAGAGAGACCACCAACCCACCTGGGGAAGGCAGACCCCAAGGGCCCGTTGGGCCCAGGACAAGGAGGGACTCTGCCCCCGAGCCCATGCCTCGGGCTGGTCTCCCAGCCTCCAGGACGCAAGGCAGTCTGCTCTGTTTCTGTGGTACTTCTGTCATGGCTGCCCTGGGGGACAGAGACCACCCAGAGGTGGGTGCCTGCCCTGCTTCACTAGGCAGGTCTCATCTTTCTTAAAAAGCAGAAATATCACACCTGGCAAAGCAGCAACCAAACACCAGCACGACCGAGCCGAGACACAGGCAGCACCAAAGGGCTGGTCAGAGCAGTTACTGGGGAGGAGGTGGCCCCCCCGCGGCGGATGGGAGACGCCGGGTTGTTAACAGCTGGTTTCATCTTGTGACAATCTAGAGTTTACTAGATAAGATGACGACTGACCAAAGACATGGGCAGTGACAAGGCTGGCACTGAGACCCTGCACGGTTCCAAAGCCGGGGTCTGCGGTCGACGGAGAGGGGCCTGCGCCAGGGCCGGAGGGGACACGACCCAGCCGGGCTGGTGCTGCTTCCTCGAGGGAACCTCACGGCTGTGGGCACAGCCGGCCACCCGTGTGCAAAGAACAAAGACGGAAGGGGACGCTGCAGGTGGCAGGCCATCCAGGCCATTTTGCCCGCATGCAGGCGCTGTCTCCCAGGCCAAGAACTCGCCGCGTACCCCAAGTTGGAACGGGGCCGCAATCTCCCTCTGCAGCTTGTTCCAAGCCACAGGGTGATGGCGGTGCGCGTGTGCATGCACACGTGTGTGTGCACACGTGTGCACGCGCCCCTTCCCCCTGGCCGCCCCACCCCCACCTGGGGCAACACTCAGGCTGGGCCAGGTCACAGCCTGACACACAACAGAACCGTGATGCGCCTGTGGAAGCGCCAGGGTGCCCTCAGGGACGTTCAGGGTGGAGGCCGAGTGGCAGTAGGTGGCGGTTCTCTGCACTGCAGCCCCTGGGATTCCTCCACAGGGATTCCCTGGGCTCATCCCCTCTCCCCTCCTCCGAGTGCGGCCCAGGGGATCCGACAGCACCCTATCTCCCACACTGCAGGGAAGCTGGGGCACACAGGGCGCAGGGAGAAGTTCCCACAGTTTGGAAATCCTGGGCCCAGGGCCGAGCAGAGAGGGCTCAGGAAGGCTGCTGAAGGCCCTGCTAAACCGTCAAGCCTGGAGGCGGTCTCCGTCCCAGGCAGCACCTTCCTATCCCAGTCAGGGGTGGTGGCCCAGCCTCCATCTGGCCTCTCGCCCTGTGCATTTACCAAGCAACTACCCCAAACTCGAACACAATCCGTCACCAGCCCTCTCTCTTGGAACAGCTGGGGCACTGAGCAGACAGGTGCCACAGGGCACAGAAGGCTTCACTGTGGTTCCACAGGCAACGGAGGTGTTGTCACAGATTCAGCTAATGCCACCTGCACGTTCTAGAACCAGGTGCTGTGGGGTCGACTCTGTCCCGTGGTGACCCCATGTGTCAGAACTGAGCTCCGCAGGGTTCCGAAGCGGAAGGCCAGTCCTCTTCTCCCCCCGCAGGTGCCCTGGGGGGACTTGACCCTCTAACTTAAGGTTCGCGCAGTGCTAACTGTTGCGCCATTTGGTGACCACCCCTCCCCAAGCCCTCTGTGGGTAAAAGGTGGGACGGGACACCCAGAGTGTGCTGAGCACACTTAGTCCACCAAGGGCAGGCTTTCCTTTGGGCCCATGCTTTCCTAAGTAGGGCTTGAACAGGAGGGAAAACGATAGTGGTTTTTCCCCCTAAAGTCAAGGTAATCGAGGTATAATTTGCATACAGTAAATGTGACCTTCTTCAGGTACAGTTCTGAGTTTTGACAAATGTAGAGCTGAGTAACCAGCGGAATCAACATACAGAGTAGATGCAACACTTTGTAGGCCTCTCTGGTCAACCAAGGAACGCTGGTGGCTCAGTGGTTAAGTGCTGGACTGTTACCTGAAAGGTTGGCGGTTGGAACCCACGGTCGCTCCAGGGGTGAAACATGTGGCAGTCTGCTTCTGTAAAGATTTACACTCTTGGAAAGCCTCTGGGGCAGGTCTCCTCAGCCCTACAGAGTCACTGGGAGTTGGTGGGCTCTCAGGCCCTGGCCTCGGCCTCACCCCATCCAGTGCTGCTCCGTGTTCTGCGTCCTAGTCTTGCCTTTCCTACGATGTCATCTAGATAGCTCCCACAGCAGAAGGCCCCGTGGGTCTGGCTTCTTCCGCTCAGTGGCTACATGCCTCACTCATCCGCGCTGTACCCATCATCAGCTGTCCTGCCGAGTGCTGCTTGGCCACGTCGCGGTTCACTCACTGCCAAAGGGGATCTGGGGTGCCTCTCGGGTTGGTGGTTCTGAGTACTGAAAGCCTTGGCACAGGGTTCTGAGGGAACACGAGTTTCGATGCAAACTCTGGGGTTCTCTGGGAACGGACCACTGGACTATATGGTGAGTATGTGTTTAACGCTATAAGCAGCAACCACGCGGCAGCAGTACTTTGCACATGCACCAGCGAGGCACGAGGGTTGAGCTGCTCCACACACTTTGCAAACACTTGGGATGCTCAGGTTTTGAGATTGCAGCCATTCTAATGGACAAACAGGGCCCTCTCACTGAGGTACCCTGCACCCTAGCGGTTAGCTTGGCAAGGGCTAAGGGCCTTCCTAGGTGGGCACTTGCCGTTTGTGCCTCTTCCTCGGGAAGGTGTCTGTTAAAGCCTTCTGCCCGTTTTTGAGAGCAGGTGGCTGCTTTTCTCCGATGGAATTTTGAGAGTGCTTCCCATCGGCCCTTTATGAGACATATGCTTTATAATTTTTTTCTTGGTGGTGGTTCATCTTTTCATTTTCTTCACATTGTCTTTTGAGAAGCAGAAAGTTTTAACTTGGATAAGTCTAGTTTATCATCTTTCACGGCTTTTTGTACTTTTGTATCTCGTTAAAGAAGCTGTTGCCAAACTCGAGGGCAGAGACTTTTCCCTGTGTTCTCTTCAGGAAGGTGTGTAGATCTGGGTTTCACATTTAGGCCTGGGACGCACTCTGAGTTTGTCTGAGGTATGGGGTGAGGTTCTCCTTCCTTTTCTCTCCTT